TAAGACTTTGTTCACTTCAACTTATTTTTGCTAAATTGATTTTTTTTTTTACTAAAACAAATTATTTTTGTTGAATTAAAATATTTTTACTGAACTGATATTAATTTGGAAAAATTGCCAAGAATAATCCGAACTTTGGCCCGTTCGCTCAAAATAATCCCAACTTTTGATTATTTTTTAATAATCCCAACTGTATATTCTATTAATTTTAAACAGTCCCAAGTGACTTGGAATTGGCTAAACAGGTCAAAAAAAAATTTGTTAAAAATAATAATAAAAAAAAATTATCAATTTTTTTTAAAAAAAAAAAACATATGAAAAAAACCACCACCACCTTAGCCACACCACCTCAGCAGCCCAGCCACCAACATCTCCACTCCCACCCAAACCTAGACGCCTTAACCACCTCCCCCACCCCACCCAGACCCAAAATCACCACCCCCACCCCACCCAGACCCGAAACCACCACCCCCACCCAACTAGACTTTCATCCTATCCTAAATAACTACATCTTCGAAAATCAAACAATCCCCAATTACATGTTCTTCATCTTCATATTAAAAATTTGCAGTTGCAAATTGGAAGTTATGGGAATGGTAAGGAAATACATGGGAGGAGAAAGAATTGATTGGTGAGGGTGGTCGCGGTGCAGGTGGAGGTTATCTACGGTTTCGAGTTTGGGTCGTTCCGAGTGAGGGAGGGGGAAAAGGGCCGGAATTGGACGGGTGTAGACACCCATTTGTGTCTCCCCAAAACCAAACCCAGTGATGAGTACCTTTCGCGTCGAATCATAATCGAATGAAGCGAAAGTGTGGAAAGTCTAGTGTTGCGGAAAGTTTTATTTTCTCTTCTCTTCTCTCTGTTTTTGAAAACTTATTTTGAGAAAACAGCCAATCCAGTTTGGTTGGTCCATGATATGGGTCCAATAGTAGTGTAGTTGGATGGGGCTTGCAAAGACCTTTCCAACGATATATTATAAGCCCAATTCCGATGAATATTGAGGAAGTTATGGCCAATTTACCAAACTGGGCCTGGTTTGAGCCTTATATGCGGTCCAATGATCTAGGGGAGGGCCTAATATGATTTATCATTCCTAATGCAATTAGGAATGGTTTTAGTTTTCTGGATTCTTCTAGAAGGTTCTTTTCATTCCTAATTCAATTAGCATTGATAAATTGACTTTTGTTGACTTTTCAGAGTTTTAATCAAAATCAAATAGCATTTGTGAAGGAATTATATTATTTTATCCTCCAGTACGGTAAACTTATCGGATTTTCGAAAACGCGTTGGAATCAAGCTTGGCGTCTGCCCCTTGGCGCCTGGAACCAGGCCTAGCGCCTGGCGCTAGTGTTGGTGCCTGGCGCCAGCTAGCCAGGGTTGGCACCAGCTCTGTTTTCTGAGCGTCAGACTCTGTTTTGTTTAATTTATCTTTTTGGCTGATTTTCTCTATAAATATCGTATTAAAAACTCCGTTTTCATTCACCAATTCTCCTCATTCGCAAGTTATCATCAACAATCATTAATTCTTTAGCATTCTCTAAATCATTCATCTCTCTTAAAACATTCGATTCTTTCTTACTTTGTTTTTTCATACAAAATTCCACATTCACAAATTCTAGAAACACCTAGCCATATTCGAAGTTGCCTTCGCCCTAGACGTGAAAGGTTTTAATTTCTGAGGGTTTGGTCCCAAATCTCTATTTCAATTATTTAATTTAATTGTTTTGATTATTATTTTCCTTGAAGTTACTAACGTGTGTATTTTGTTATTAGAAAGAGTACGAGGCATCAAAGTAAGTACTTTAATGGTTTTAATTGATGTTATGATGTAGAAATCATGTTTAAATTGTTGTTATGATATTCCTAGTATCATGTCTAGGGTATTTTTAATATTAAATATGTTTATCATGATTCCTGTGATGCCTTTTATTCTCTTCCTAATACTTATGATTGTTAGTATCATGTTAGGGCTAAAGATTTGATTTTTATTGCTTAGTGACATGCTAGGATTTGTTATTAATCTTATTAGTATCATGCCTAGGATCTTGCTATTATTATGCCTTAGTATTAACATGAACATGATTATCATGATTATTATAATTATTATGATTATGAATATTATTATTAATATTATTATTATTATGATGATTATTATTATTCATGTTTATTCTAATGATTGTTATTATAATTATTATTATGATTGATTATTATTATGTTGCTTGATGCTTATTTATTATTATTGCTTGATCACGCCTTTTATTGCATGTTTAAAGGGAATTTGGTACTTGTAATCACGCTTAATAAGATAATTAATAATCTTGTTTAGGGTTAACGTGATTATAATTTAAGTGATCGCCAATAATAGATTTATTTGTGCATTTAAATTCAACCAACATAGATAAACAGGTTTAGGGTTAAACTTATTGATTGCATGTTAATCAGAAAGCGCACATGAATACGATCAGAATAAAGTAGAGGTCTATTATTAGGGCAGGTTCAATCTCTTTTAGGTTAGATTTGTACCTTCATCCCCGAACCCTTATTTGGTTCATGACCTTATGGAGTTGACGATCTCTTGAATCGTTAAGGGGTGTAACCTTCATCCTATGAACGGTTTACAAGTTCCTAAAAACCTTGTTGGCGACTCTTTTGCTCTATCTTCTTCCCTTTTGGACATCACCGTACTTTGGTGTATGATCATAGTGGGGTTCAAGCTAGGGGTTTAAAGGCTTGAAATTTATTCCCTACAACGGGGGAACGTGAAGGGGGCGGAAATGGGACGGGAATGGGGAAGAGATGCCGGCGGCAGCCAGCCTCCCGGTGGTGGCAGCAGCTGCTTGCTAGGAATGGGTTTATGTATATATATATATATATATATATATATATATATATATATATATATATATATATATATATATATATATAATTTTTTTTTTTAATTTGAAAGGGTTTTTTTAATTTAATTTTTAAAATTTTTTTTGGACCTTTCACATGCCAACACATGTCAGATAACTTGTTATAACAAGTTAATGACCTGTTGGGACCATTTAGAGCGAATGCATATTAAATTTCGGATTATTAAAAAATAATCGAAAGTTGGGATTATTTTCGGCGAATGAGGCAAAGTTCGGATTATTTTGGTCATTTTTTCCTATTAATTTTAAGAAATTTTAGATTTTAACACCAGAAAAAAATAATAATAATAAAAGAAAATCAAAAATGATTTTTAACACCCCAAAAAAATAAATTATATAACACAATTTTTTTTTTTTTTTTTTTACAAAATTTGGTTTTACCACCACTTAACAGTATCCATCCAAGAATCTGTTAATTAGGGTCCACAGTGCCACACGCGCTTTGTATGTGGTTAACAAAATTTTAAAAAAATAATAAATAAATAAATAAATAATCTTAAAATACCCAGCCACCACCGTCGGCCCCTGCTCCATCGCCGGCATTGGAACCTCTCCCAACCTAACCCAACCCCATCGGGACCCAACCACTCCCTTTCCTGCAGCCAAATCTGCCGCACCAGTGCTATATCGCAACCCCCCTTCCTCAAACAATTAGTGGTTTATACACCTAGGTGTACCATGCGCATGGTACACCTTGATTAAAGCGGAATGAACATCGTATATAGTTATAAAGAACATCATGAATTTATAAAAGAACATATTTCTGAAATCATATAACTAATATATAAAGCTAAACTTTTAGCCAGGCGATGAGGCAGCGACACTTGGCGTTCCAACTTTTCGCTAAGTGTCGTGCCACGTAGGATAGAGTTATATAGAATTCAATATGTAGGATAAAAAAGTTAGTTTAGAATTTTATTTTCAATCAAATTTGGATAGAATTTTAGGATAAAATTATTAATTTAGAGTTTTATTTTTTGATAAAGTACCAATATTTCATATGTAGAAATTGAATTATAATTTTATTCAAAAATAATTAGATTATAACTCTTATAAATTATCATATAAATTTATTTTTTGTGTCATAATATTTTTTTGGAGCGAAGGAATTAGTTCAAAATGTACCACATCCATTGTTTATAATACATTCCAATCAATTAAGATAATATACTTCACAATCTAATATAATTTTATTACTGTGTGTAGATCACGAGTCATTTCAGACAGGGTCATTATTTCAGGTCACGGGTCAAGAAATATTTTTCACTAATATTATTATCAATAGTCATTACATGTCTACAAGTTATATAAACGCGGAAAGAACTTGTAGACATGTATAACTTGTAGACATGTAATAATATTAGTGAAAAATATATAACTTGTAGACATGTAGAACAAGTTATATATTTTTCACTAATATTATTATCAATAGTCATTACACTCCAATCACAACCAAATAAGCTTGAGTCACTAACATACTACCTGGGTGTATGATGAAAATTTCATCCTCCAATATCGACCACGATTTCGATCACTAGTCAGCCCCAAAACCGGCCAGTTTCGACCATAACTAGCCTATTGTGGCCGTTTTAGAATTTAGGGTTTCGTTTTATGGGTGCGGGAAGGGTAGGGGATGAGTTCCGGTGGTCTGGGATAGGGAGGGGGTGGGTTACGGTACCAACGGGTTGAAGCCGTGGGGTGGGCATGCGATGTTGATGGTGGTGGGCTGGTGGTATTTGGGTGGTTGTAGGTTTTTTCCTTTTTTCTTTTATTTTATTTTTGTAAAACTAATAGTATAAAAACACGTGGCAACATGGACCCCACGTAACGAAATCTGTTAGGTGTTGGTAAAATCCATTTTCTTAAAAAAGTTGTGATGTTAAAACTAATCCATCCGTCCCTTAATACAATGCCTCTTTTGAGCATTTATTCCTCGCATAATAAAGAGAAAGATGCATTGTATTAAAGGACGGAGGTAGTATTTTTCAGGTGTTGATATTCTACGAAGTATTATACTACCTCCGTTTCATGTTATTTGCAACGATTTAACATAAAGTAGAGAGAAAAAAATGTCTAATCGTTGCAAATAATATGAAACGAAGGTGGTATATTCTCTTAAAATTACTTTTTACTGATCGGTGATTGGTGATATTAGTATTAGAATTAGAAAGTTAAAATTATTACAGTGGTTGGAAGATTGAACAAGATGGGTGATTGGTGAATTTAGTTTTGAGTCTTTTTTTTTGAAAGTAATTTTAGTTTTGAGTCTTGTGACATGTTAATTTACAGTTTTAAGTTTTTAACTCTAAAAAGTCAAACTTAAAAGGAACTAAACAGAAGACCCAAATCAATCCTACACTTGCCCTTCTTATCAATTTGGATCACCAAAAACCCTAAACTTTGATTCAAATTCAACCCAAAAATGGACAGAAATGAAAGACCCACAAGCGTAATCGACAGTTTAGGCGAAGAATTGGTCCGAATCATAACCCCAGTTTCAATTTGCATGTTCTTGGTGGTAATTTTGGTATCAACCCTAAGTTCCGATTCATCATCTTCGTCTTCTGATTCAATCATCACAATAGCTAATTTAGCTTACGATGAGAGTAGCTCAGATTCATTTTGGGATAAATTTGAAGGTGCCCTTTTAAATTCTCTTGTTTTTGTGGTAATTGTGACTATAATTACTTTCTTTTTGGTCTTCTTATTCTATATTAGGTGCACCAGTTTCTTGAAATATTATATGGGTTTTTCTGCATTTATGGTATTAGGGTTTATGGGTGGTCAAATTGCTGTAATGTTGGTTGAGAAATTGAACTTGAACATTGATATTATCACATTTTTGGTGCTTTTGTTCAATTTTGCAATTGTGGGTGTTTTGGCTGTGTTTATGTCAAAGATGGCTATTTTAGTGACTCAAGCTTATTTGGTTGTGATTGGAGTGTTGGTTGCTTATTGGTTTACTATGTTGCCTGAATGGACTACTTGGGTGCTTTTGGTTGCCATGTCATTGTATGATTTAGCTGCTGTGTTGTTGCCCATTGGTCCGCTTCGCCTGTTGGTGGAACTTGCTATATCTAGGGATGAAGATATACCCGCATTAGTTTATGAAGCTCGTCCTGTTAGCGTGGATGAGTCGGATGGTGTTGGTCAGAGGAGGCTTTGGAGGGAGAGAAGGGGTGATGGGGATCAACAAGAGGATTTGAATAGTGGGGTGAATTTGGAGACGAGTACGGATCATCGAACACTACCAACTGTTGGAAGTGGCCATAGTGTGAGAGATTTGGTGAGTACTGAAGAAGGAAGGGTGGTAAATTATGATCAGGATGCTTCTGTGCCATTGCTTGAGCATAGATTAAGAGCTGAACAGCATGCAGACCGAGTTATGGCTTCAGATGATAGTATGATTTTTGAAGGGATTGGATTGGGATCTTCTGGTGCTATTAAGCTAGGGCTTGGGGATTTCATCTTTTATAGTGTTTTGGTTGGAAGGGCAGCAATGTATGATTATATGACAGTGTATGCCTGCTATTTGGCTATAATAGCCGGTCTTGGAATTACCCTGGTGTTACTGGCTGTCTATCAGAAAGCCTTGCCTGCTTTGCCCGTATCTGTCATGCTTGGGGTATTGTTTTATGTCTTGACTCGGTTTTTACTTGAAGAATTTGTTGTGCAATGTTCCATAAATTTTGTTATGTTCTAGTATTGTATATTTCCTGTGATTAGCATCATTTTTATAGCAGTGGCTTGATTTCAATACTCGGGTGCCAATAGCTTGGTCGCTAATTTAGTAATTTGTTCTTTATTCACTGCAAATATATTGATTGACACATGCATTTATGCTTGAAGAAGAATTTCTCCCTTATAAGGATCATCCTAGAATTTTGTTTTGTGAAAGGTCTTCAATAGTAAAATTTGTTGGCACTGGCTGTAACTGAAAACAGATAAGGTTCGAGTTAATCAAATGAGGCAATTGTACCTAAATGGCTGATATCTTTGTGGAGATTCTTTGAAAGTCTATCTGAAGATTGGAAGCATTCTCTATGGTACTGCGCTCACCAGCTTCTATTACACTAGAGAGCTTATAAGAAGTCAATACCATCATTTGCCACATATTTGGAGCTGGGTAATTGAGGTGCCTTATGATAAGGATTTGCTGGAGCATGAAAGTCTGCTACAACAGTTATATTAGTATTTGATGCTTGAAGCGCCTTTGCAACTAATAAGATGTTCGTGGTTCACCCCTACAATCAAATAATTTGGCACTTTTGGCTTTACTTGAATGAAACGTCATTTTGCCAGCGAAGCTGTAATGCTTTTTTCAATTATCAGTTCAAATAAAGTTGCAGGAAGGTTGTTGGTTGGTTTTACTGTATTAGAAGTGTGGTGCTGCACTGCTGCCCACCAAAAAAAAAAAAAAGGGAAACTGAAAGAGTTGTAAGTCCTATTTTCTTTCAAGATTGATGCAATAACCTCCATGGAGGTACTACGGTAAATTGGTAAGAATAATTTTGAAGGATTTTTTTCAGCTGAACTCTATGTGTGTTACATTGTTTCTTCGTTTGTGACCTGTTGATCATGTTAGATTGCCCTTTATATTGTGATCTCAACTCCTTACAAAGTACACGATTTTTGAGATGTTACTTATGTTGACTCTGTTGAGTCGTACTTTTAACTGCATCCTGCCATGGTCAAAGTTACTACCACTTAAACTCTAGTAGAGCAAATTGTAATCAAACAACATGAAATTCGAATATGCTGAGGTTTTAGGAATTGATTGAATATATATGCAATATAGTTCACTATTGGTAGTTAATCAGAGATGATTATGACATAAGTCTATTGGCGGTGGGGGGCTAGGGAGGCAGGGAGAAGCCTTTAAAATGGAGCTAATGACTTTTTGAGTGAACTCAGCTGTATTGATATCTCATACCTGCTTCATCTGTCCCTATGGCTTTTTTTTTTTTTTTTAATCAAATGAGTTTAACCGTGAACCAGTGTCTGTTTATACCAGCCTTTCTATTGCTGACATTGGAGGGCTTGTGTTATCTGTATTATAGCATGGATTTGGTATTATGTGTTGTTATCATTTCAGAACTTTGGTATAATGTAAGTGGTCAGCCTTTTGAATCTAAGTGTTATACTTGAAGAAAGCATATATATTATATATTGCAATGGTTGATAAGTTTGTACTTCATAAAGTGGTTGAGCTCAATGCTGTGTATTTTGATCTATAATTCTATAGCCTATAAGTAGTCACAAATGACATAGATATAGATGAGCTTCAATCCTAGGACTTTGCTACCCCCCTTCTTGCCCTTGAGACTTGACTAGGCTGCAGTATGTTTGTTGAAAAAACATATCTATTTTGAAATAACTAGCAGTGCTTCTCCTTTCAACTTTCTTCATCCTCTTTCTACATCAACAGGCTGTTTTTCTGCATCCATGCTGTAAAATCTGTTATTTTGTCGCTTTTTTTTTTTCCCTTCATATATATTGTCTGACTTACATCACTGGATATCTTCAGCTTGTTTATCTTTCAAAATCCTCAACCCCTCATTCCTTTCCCTATCACTAACAGCCGTGACCGGTTTTTGTATAGCTATATGCTCCCTGGTATCAGTATCTTTTGTCAAAGTTCAGCTGTGAATGTTGTTAAGATGTCATATTGTTTATATGTAGTTTCATTAAATTCACAAGGTTAAAACTTCGCATCATACACGAGCTTAACGGCGAAGAATCCATGTTGCAGGCTTTTTTTATTATTATTTTTTTTTATTTTTTATTTTTTATTGCTGATGATTTAAACTGGAAAACATGTGGTAAATGTGTTGATCCCTATTTTTGCCTCAACAAATGTTTTACTACGTATTAATCCATACCCTTTATTCCATAGAGTGCTACAAAATTGCTGTTTGAGCATTTGTATTCCTGCAGAAGCCTCATATATTCTAAGAGATAAGAGATATGGATGAATTTGGGATATTATAATTTTATTTTGAAGTGAATCTACTTTATTATGTGCTTCTCTTATTAATTATATTATTCTTCCGAATAATTTTGCTGCTCTTTATTAGCATATATGAAAGAGGTGATTTGAAAGAGATGGATAAGATAAATGGTACTCCTTTTGGATGCTCCTAATTCCAGTGAACAAAGAATGCAAAAAGTGTAAACTTGTAGAAAAATGAAATAAAGGGATGAAAAAAAAATCATATGGTTAGGGCATAATGAACTTTGATACTAGCCAATTCATGGGTAAAACAACTGAAAATCAAACAATAACACTAATTTGTTTGATACTCCTTTAAAGAGAGCAACTTTATCAATAAATTACTTCGTATATATTTTTGGTCATCTAAAGTAATTTTACGGTAGATGTACAATATTTGTCATGTGTTCGTTTTATTTAAAAGTTTTTTATTATAGAATAAATTCCATAAGCAGTATTCTACAAGTATTCCACATTTGAAAACACTTATCTTTCACAACAAAAATATTGTCAATTCCATGGTCTTGTTCATGTTTTATCAATTTCATGTTGAATGCAAAAATGTAGTTCACATTCTCTTAGGCTGCTAATTAAGTAGTAGCAAGCCTGTATTGACTCTTGACTATAGACTAATTAAGTCGTGCCAAATTAGTTATGAAACCAACCTAAATATGTCAAAATCATGCATTCACAATTTGTCAATTTTTTCAAAAAATAAAAATAAAATAAAAAATAAAATCACCAACAACACGTTATATAGATCCCAGATTTTTGTCCAACTAAATCATATCATCATAACTATTTATTTTTTAATTTTCTTTTAATGGTAATAATCGCTTTCTCAAGATAATAAATAAAACTAAACCACATAAACACTATTTTACTAATTAAATAAACACAATAACTTAATATTTTCTTTTTAGATAAACTAGATGAAGCCCGTGCGATGCACGGTTTGTTTAATTTTTTTTTTAATATATATATATATATATATATATATATATATATATACTAAAATTTCTTATATATTTAGAAAATTCCTAATATCAAAAAATAATATTTTATATTTAATTAATTTAAACTGGGAAACCTCATTCACCAATTTTGCTTGCGTGTCATTTAAATTATTTAATTCTAAAAGAAATTAATAATCTCGTATTTAATTGACTACCACTAAAATTTATTATCTTATGTAGCGAGCTAAAAAAAATTAAATTCTACGTGGCTCTCTAAAAACTCGGGAATATTAGATTAGATTGCTTTCTAAAAGGTAAGTAAATGGGCATCTTGTTTTGAATTCCGTCATCAAGGGAATATAAAGGTAGATAGTTGGTTGTGTTGACATCTAGTTTTTACTCTTTAGTCTTTACTAGTGATTGAAAACATTTTTATTCGCTATTTTGGTCACCATCAAATTTAATTTGTCTTATAGTGTACGGAATAATATTTCCAGTTTAATAAAATTACAATATAAATTACTAGAATTAAATTTGCTTTTTGGTAACTTTTGATGTAGTATGAACATTTATTTACTTTATTCGTACTTGATGCACTTTTTTGCTAGACTTGGAATTACAAGTATTTTTACGACGTAATTTGGTATAATTTGCTGTGTTTAACTGTATAAGTTTATTTTTAGCAAGTTGAAATTATGACATTTTGGGTCAACTGTAATTAAATGAAGCATTACTAAGTCAAATAGCTGTCTCAAATACTCACTTACCATTGCCACTTGATACATGAATATAACTTACCACGGCCAGATCTACCTAAAATAAATATAAGTTAATCAAGTTGTTCGACACTTAACATTGCCACTTGATACGTGAATATGATTCACTAATCAAGAGTTCAAAACGCGATTAACTAATTATTGAGTTCGGGTCAAAATTTTTTTTTTTTTTTTTTTTGAAAAAATCTTTAAATTATTGAGTGAATGAATCTTTGTTAATAAGTAATATCTTAAACTTATTTAATAAATACAAAGTACCTCTTGTACATGGCCTATTTGGGGGAGATGGAGCCAGTGGGCATGTGGCGGATAAAATCTACAAAAATTATAGAGTAATCATGCAATTTTAGATTAGTTTGAACACTTTTTTTTATACCGCGAAATAATCTACTTATTTTTTTATACCAGGGTATTTGGCTATATCATTGTCCATTGCGGATACAATTCTAGTAATATCGGCTCTAATACACACCATACCAATATACCATAGTCCGCCTCGCTTGGGGCGCTATCTATCTAGCTCACCAAAGCCCCATTTTGGCCCCCATTGAATTTTTTTTCTCCTTATATACCTGAGAAGAAATTGCTTCATATAGAAATTAGGATTATGTCACTACTTGTATCTTGAAAAGTACAGATAAAGTTACAGTTAGTTATAAGGAAAGAAGAAAAGAGCATTACCAACTTTTTGGACATGGTATTTGGTAATCCTTTTGACTATTCGATCAATTTTTGAGGACCCTATAATTGCATCACTTTTAAAATGTCAAAGCACAACTTGAGCATTTTTCGTGTAGTGTTGAACCTTTGGCAGATTTGCAGTTTTGTTACATATCAGATGCTTTAGGCTGCACGTCTGTTGTGTTCATTAAATTAATCTAACTCACAACGACATTACGTTGCGATCACTTGATTTGATGCAAAAAATCACACGTTACCGGAATTGAGTTTCCATTCAGTTACAATGTGCCTAGCAAGAGCATAGAGCATTAGGCAAGCAACTCCATCTTCTCAGAAATAAAACTTTTTCAGGACTGTTTGACCAAATATACATTTTATCAGTTCAAACAGACTGATTTTCTTTTGAGTTTTTCCTGATCAAGCAGACGACGAATTCAACAAAATCCATCAGAAGTTGAGAATATTGTGACAGAACACAGCTTTCCATTCAAAATCTATGCATTAAAATTACAAGTATATTGTTTAGGCCAATACAGGATCAAAAAAGGACATACAATAGCAGCCATCTCACTCTCCTTAGGAAAAGAAAACTGAGAGGCTGAGAGCATAGCTACAATCAAAGAAACAAACTATGTCTACAACTCCTTTACTTTTCAAATTCTTTTCGTTTTCTTTATCGAACTCATCTTCTGCGGGAGTTCAAAGATTTTTGAGACCCTTCAAAGAAATCCCTGAGCAAATTCTCCAAGTCATCAGAATCATACTTGACATACTTCTCAATATCGAACTTTTTATGCCTTCCGATGAAACTCTGATATGCCAAAATCACTTTCTGAGAGATGGAAATCCTCAACTCTTCCCTAAGCTGCTCATCTCGAATAGACCATGATGTCTGGCTCCTATATACATCCTCGAATGCAACACTGAAAACCCGGATCTTCTCCTTGAGGACCAACCTAACTCCTGAACCTGACCCTGATGGAATTCCATCGTCCCTAAGCGAGGCTACAACTGAACTCCAAGTACTCCTCACATAGCTAGTAGCATGCTGTTGATAGCTCACTATCTGAGTTCTGATCCAATCATCACCAAATAACTTCTGTTGCTCGGAATTTATGACTTTCTGTTG